ATTTGAATAACGGATTTGCGTCACTCGTGTTCCTTAAATAGTTAACTGATACGCATGCGCCAGTTGCAGGTAGAGGCGTTTCCTGACTGCCTTAACGTCTATAGCTCCATCTGGAGACCGACGGACAACGTAACACTATTTTGACCATTCCTCATTCATGGCCCAGGGGCCAGATTCACGAAAGCACTTACGAACCTGCACATTTTTTCTCAATCTTTGGCGGCTTTGTTTACAATTATTAAACAGTTAATGAGCTCCGAAGCACCAGGAGGCTGTTTATAACAATAACAACAGTTGATTGGCAAGTTTTCATGCTTGTAAACTATTTAATAAATGTAACCAAAGCCGTCAAAGATTGAGGAAAGGTGTACACGTTCGTAAGTGCTTGCGTAAGTGCTTTCATGAATCTGGCCCCCAGGATGATACGACGCCTCGCGTACTGATTGCCTAGACCCGCGAGACTTGTTGATGTATACATGTCCGGTATTGTGTTCGGTTTTTGAACGAAGTGTTGAGGACTTGTGGTGTGGTCGGGGTGTGTTGGGTTCCTGGTGGGCTTCCAGTGGGCGTGGTGGGCTTCCAGTGGGCGTGTTGAGCTTCCAGTGGGCGTGTTGAGCTTCCAATGGGCGTGGTGGGCTTCCAGTGGGCGTGTCGAGCTTCCAGTGGGCGTGTCGAGCTTCCAGTGGGCGTGTCGAGCTTCCAGTGGGCGTTGTGGGCTTCCAGTGGGCGTGTTGAGCTTCCAGTGGGCGTGTCGAGCTTCCAGTGGGCGTGGGGGGCTTCCAGTGGGCGTGTTGAGCTTCCAGTGGGCGTGGTGGAATGGAGGGATTGTAGTGTCTGCTCGGGGCGTGGCGGGCTTCTGGTTTGCAATCAAGGAGTCTTGGAGTGGTTGGCTTGTGTTTTACGCTTGGGGCGTGATTAGCTCTTGATGTTCACTCGGGGCGTGGTGGGCTGTTATAACCCAGGAATTAACCTGATTCTTAACTATTCAAGTAATACACTTATGTTCTTAAATATATTGAATTAACTTATAACGCTTTCGGTAGGACGTGTTATTATATAAGCATATGGTTTCTATTAATATTTAATGAATTTAGTACTCATTTGAAACGTGTTTTGACTGCTTGTCATAGTTTATTGAGGACTATGTTGCTCTTAGCATACGATAAGTAGGCGACATTGTGTAGAGGCGCCTCACCATGTTGGTTGGAGAGCGGCTCAGGAGGTCCACGAGCCTTACAGTGAGTGAATGGTAACAAGGGGTGCTGGTGTGTGTGCTAGGAGGGTGTGGTGGGCTGCTGGTGTGTGTGCTCTGGGTGTGGTGGGCTGCTGGTGTGTGTGCTAGGAGGGTGTGGTGGGCTGCTGGTGTGTGTGCTCTGGGTGTGGTGGGCTGCTGGTGTGTGTGCTCTGGGTGTGGTGGGCTGCTGGTGTGTGCTAGGGGGTGTGGTGGGCTGCTGGTGTGTGTGCTAGGGGGTGTGGTGGGCTGCTGGTGTGTGTGCTCTGGGTGTGGTGGGCTGCTGGTGTGTGCTAGGGGGTGTGGTGGGCTGCTGGTGTGTGTGCTAGGGGGTGTGGTGGGCTGCTGGTGTGTGTGCTCTGGGTGTGGTGGGCTGCTGGTGTGTGTGCTAGGAGGGTGTGGTGGGCTGCTGGTGTGTGTGCTCTGGGTGTGGTGGGCTGCTGGTGTGTGCTAGGGGTGTGGTGGGCTGCTGGTGTGTGTGCTAGGGGGGTGTGGTGGGCTGCTGGTGTGTGTGCTAGGGGGTGTGGTGGGCTGCTGGTGTGTGTGCTAGGGGGTGTGGTGGGCTGATGGTGTGTGTGCTAGGGGGTGTGGTGGGCTGCTGGTGTGTGTGCTCTGGGTGTGGTGGGCTGCTGGTGTGTGCTAGGGGGTGTGGTGGGCTGCTGGTGTGTGTGCTAGGGGGGGGTGGTGGGCTGCTGGTGTGTGTGCTAGGGGGTGTGGTGGGCTGCTGGTGTGTGTGCTAGGGGGTGTGGTGGGCTGCTGGTGTGTGTGCTAGGGGGTGTGGTGGGCTGCTGGTGTGTGTGTGCTAGGGGGTGTGGTGGGCTGCTGGTGTGTGTGCTAGGGGGGGGTGTGGTGGCTGCTGGTGTGTGTGCTAGGAGGGTGTGGTGGGCTGCTGGTGTGTGTGCTAGGGGGTGTGGTGGGCTGCTGGTGTGTGTGCTAGGGGGGTGTGGTGGGCTGCTGGTGTGTGTGCTCTGGGTGTGGTGAGATTGTGGTGCACGCTCGGGACCATCACAATAATTGGTACGTGTTCCAGCCCCACCGTGGGTGGGTGCCAGGCACTATCATCAAAGATGTGAGTGTCACGTGACCCTCTGCCAGTCACCACAGTCACAAATATCTCTGTACCATTATCATCATTATTTTTATGCTATATTGTAAACTTTTTGTGCTAATCATAGCAAAATATAGACCAGTCATAATGCTTTCCTTTTAAACTGTAAACAAACTATCTTGATTTAGTTTTTGTCTTTGAACAAACTGTGTGATAATGACTGGTGAGTGTGACACACACACACAGAGATCACACTAACGTGATGCATCAAATGAACAAATCCACAAGGGCCGTGACGAGGATTCGAACCTGCGTTTTATTCACTGATTAGTGTGGTTTGTAAGTAGACCCCGGGTGAGATGTTTTATTGTTATTATTGATACTGTAGGGAAGAGAGAGGGAACGAGTGAAGAAAAGAATGAGGAAAACAAAGGATAGTGAGTTGACAGGCAGCGACAGGCAGCGACAGGCAGCGACAGGCAGCGACAGGCAGAGACAGGCAGAGACGGCCAGGTAATGCAGTCTAGATGTCTGAGGCTGGAGGCCAAACTCGTGAGGCTTGCTGTACCCAATTTTCCCCAGTAATTACTGTTTGGTACGTGCCCAACATGGGCGGGTCTGGATTGGCATCAAAGAAAAGAGTGACACGGTAGAATGTGCCAAACGTGTTCAACACCCTCTCTGTGGGCACCACTAGAAGACTCGTCACCACACCCCCACCCGCGTCCTCACACGGCACACACGCCTCGCTGCCTCACATTACACCACAGGTCCTGCACATTTAATAGCCTCTCTTTCTGCACTCCCCCCCCCCCATCCTGTTCCATAAACCCCTTTCCCCAGAGAGAGAGAGAGAGAGAGTCAGAGAGAGAGAGAGAGTCAGAGAGAGTGAGTGAGTCAGAGAGAGAGAGAGTGAGTCAGAGAGAGAGAGAGAGAGAGTGATTCAGAGAGAGAGAGAGAGTGATTCAGAGAGAGAGAGAGAGAGTGATTCAGAGAGAGAGTCAGAGAGAGAGTGAGTGAGTCAGAGAGAGATAGAGAGAGTCAGAGTCGTCAGCTTCACAATGTACACATATAAGACCTTAGTGTAGGCCTGGATTATATTCAGGGATGAAGTGTACTTGCTAGTTGGACTGCAAGCTATTGCTGCCTTTGTAATCCTCCTTTGGTTGGTAGGCCTTAGGCGCAACACCACAACAGTAGTGGTGGTATTTTCATCAGTGTTCAGACTGATGCACTCAGCACTGCTCTACACAACACCTCTTGAGTATTTCCAACATTATTTTTCCCCTGCTCTATTATGATGCCATCCTGATAAATCTGAATATTATACATAAAAATGTAGATAATGTTTTATATCTTTTTTTGGGTTAGGAAAATATGACAGTTCCAACTGGCTTCAAATATTTATAAAGTGAATTATTCATTATTTTACCACTAAAAATTATCAAGGATGCCAGACATTGTTGTAGTGTAATTGGTGTGTTGTCTTCAGAGACCCGAAAACTCTTTTAAAAAGGTTGAGTGATAACTAGTTATCGTGTTGAAGGACGTGTAAGACTGTCGTGCACGCAGTTCATCTTCGAAGACTGCTGTAGCCTATACACCACACCCCTCGAAGGCTGCTGTAGCCTACACCACACCCCTCGAAGGCTGCTGTAGCCTACACCACACCCCTCGAAGGCTGCTGTAGCCTATACACCACACCCCTCGAAGGCTGCTGTAGCCTCCACCACACCCCTCGAAGACTGCTGTAGCCTATACACCACACCCCTCGAAGACTGCTGTAGCCTATACACCACACCCCTCGAAGACTGCTGTAGCCTATACACCACACCCCTCGAAGACTGCTGTAGCCTATACACCACACCCCTCGAAGACTGCTGTAGCCTATACACCACACCCCTCGAAGGCTGCTGTAGCCTATACACCACACCCCTCGAAGACTGACTGCTGTAGCCTCCACCACACCCCTCGAAGACTGACTGCTGTAGCCTCCACCACACCCCTCGAAGACTGACTGCTGTAGCCTCCACCACACCCCTCGAAGACTGACTGCTGTAGCCTCCACCACACCCCTCGAAGACTGACTGCTGTAGCCTCCACCACACCCCTCGAAGACTGACTGCTGTAGCCTCCACCACACCCCTCGAAGACTGACTGCTGTAGCCTCCACCACACCCCTCGAAGACTGACTGCTGTAGCCTCGACCACACCCCTCGAAGACTGACTGCTGTAGCCTCCACCACACCCCTCGAAGACTGACTGCTGTAGCCTCCACCACACCCCTCGAAGACTGACTGCTGTAGCCTCCACCACACCCCTCGAAGACTGACTGCTGTAGCCTCCACCACACCCCTCGAAGACTGACTGCTGTAGCCCCCACCACACCCCTCGAAGACTGACTGCTGTAGCCTCCACCACACCTCTCGAAGACTGACTGCTGTAGCCTCCACCACACCCCTCGAAGACTGACTGCTGTAGCCTCCACCACACCCCTCGAAGACTGCTGTAGCCTCCACCACACCCCTCGAAGACTGCTATAGCCTATACACCACACCCCTCGAAGACTGCTATAGCCTACACCACACCCCTCGAAGACTGCTGTAGCCTATACACCACACCCCTCGAAGACTGCTATAGCCTATACACCACACCCATGTACCAAAAAAAATAACAGGTATTTCACAGAGGGAAACAAATTATTTGTTGTTTTTGTTTCAGGGATGTACTGGTGCGTGGTGGTGATGGTGGTAGTGTCGGGCTGCGGTTCGAGCCCCCTTCCAGTGCGGGTGTCCGCCCACGCCTCCCACCAGGAGCGCCTCCAGGCCGCCCGCGCCCTTCTGAACGAGTCCCCGCTCATTGACGGGTGAGCCGAAGTAACCATTTTTTTAGTGCATAGTCACCAAAGGCATCCACAATCATGTCCTCATGTTAACTGTTCACCAAAGTGCATCCACAATCATGTCCTCATGTTAATTGTTCACCAAAGTGCATCCACAATCATGTCCTCATGTTAACTGTTCACCAAAGTGCATCCACAATCATGTCCTCATGTTAATTGTTCACCAAAGTGCATCCACAATCATGTCCTCATGTTAACTGTTCACCAAAGTGCATCCACAATCATGTCCTCATGTTAATTGCAAATCTTACTAATTCGGCGAAACAGACGATGCTCAAAATAGTAACATATAAAAGCATATAAGAGTTTTTACTGTTTAAAATGTAGTGTAAAGAACACAGGAAGCCTAGGGTGGGTATAATGGTTAGGATTTGTGCATATTTATGCCTAGGATTCGGTTATTTATGCCTAGGATTCGGTTAGTTATGCCTAGGATTCGGTTAGTTATGCCTAGGATTCGGTTAGTTATGCCTAGGATTCGGTTAGTTATGCCTAGCTTTTGGTTAGGTATGCCTAGGATTCGGTTAGGGATGCCTAGGATCCGGTTAGGTATGCCTAGGATTCGGTTAGGTATGCCTAGGATTCGGTTAGGTATGCCTAGGATTTGGTTAGGTATGCCTAGGATTCGGTTAGGTATGCCTAGGATTCGGTTAGGTATGCCTAGGATTCGGTTGTTTGAGTAGAGGTACTTTGAGCTATGCATCAATATCCGATAACATGTACTTGTTTTCTAAACCGGACACTGTCACACACCGGAAATATGGCACATTGATTTTCAACGTCGATACTGTCATTACTTCAACACAAGACTCTGGAACTCAGCCAACAATGAAGCAGACTGACTCCAAATCTGTGAATATCTTTTGAATGGAAGATACTGTCCACAAAACGTGTAAGCCATATTGTCCCTTTGATCTGAACAAAATAATAGATCAATGCCTGTTGTTGAAGCTTCTTATTCTTGATGGTAGGCGCAGTTTGCATGACTGCACGGGCACTACTGCTGGGTGTTCACATTAATGCATTCATAAATCTGTGTATCTATGTATTTACGTATGTAGCTTAAAGCCTAACATTTTAAAAGCACTACGATAACCTTCTGTGGTTGTTCAATAAATCTCTGAACTGTATGTTTGACTATTCTTTCACCCTGTCCATGGAGGACAGAAGAAAATGTATATATGCTGGTTAGCATTGTAAATGTGTGGCCACGTCTGTGGTAGAAAAAATAAGAATAATAATAAAAAACTGTTGGGTGACGCGTCACCGTGGTAGCCTGACTGTTGAAAATGACTAGAGTTGAAGAGTATTTGTTGTCTCTTGCTTTAGATACAGGATTACAACTATACAGGAGTGGCAACTCAACACAGGAGTGTGTTTGAGACACTTGCCGCACTGTAGGGCGAGGTGTTGTGTTTATGGTGTCAGCTGAGCGGTGGTGATGCGGCCAGGCACTTATTGACTATCTTTGTCTGTCAGTGGCGCCAGGTATATATATACACAGGTCACATGTGGCCCAATTTGTTGGTCGACCGGAGATATTTAGTCAGTGCTATGTCACATATGCACTTATTAAATAAGCCAATATTGACTGTAAGCCAGTGCGAGAACGGGTTGCAGTGCTTTGACTGTTTGAAGTTTTATATGTAATGAGAGATCACCTCCGTTGACACACACAAAGTAGCTGACAAAGAGAATACACAATTACTTCGTTCCGCTGTGAGGATGCTGCTCTCCACTGACAGATGACGTGTGTAATATCTTGAGGTTATCTTGAGATGATTTTGGGGCTTTTTAGTGTCCCCGCGGCCCGGTCCTCGACCAGGCCTCCACCCCCAGGAAGCAGCCCGTGACAGCTGACTAATACCCAGGTACCTATTTTATTGCTAGGTAACAGGGGCATAGGGTGAAAAAAACTCTGCCCATTGTTTCTCGCCGGCGCCTGGGATCGAACGCAGGACCACAGGATCAAAAGTCTAGCGTGCTGTCCGCTCGGCCGACCGGCTTCCCAGTCGCCGTAGGTGTCGTGTCATCAGTCATCGTTGGTGTCATCAGTCGTCTGTAGGTTTTTTTTTTTTTTTTTTTTTATATATATATATACAAGAGTTGTTACGTTCTTGTACAGCCACTAGTACGCGTAGCGTTTCGGGCAAGTCCTTAATCCTATGGTCCCTGGAATACGATCCCCTGCCGCGAAGAATCGTTGTTACAACCAAGTACACATTTTATTGTTGCGTTAAACAGAGGCTACAGTTAAGGAATTGCGCCCAGTAAATCCTCCCCGGCCAGGATACGAACCCATGACATAGCGCTCGCGGAACGCCAGGCGAGTGTCTTACCACTACACCACGGAGACTGCTAAACCAACTGAGTAGATCATCTGCGATCTGAGTAAATCATCTGCGAAACCAACTGAGTAGTGAACACTGTCGGCAGACCTAGCCACCCTGTTAGTGTGAATGAGAAGAAAAATGTTCTAGAAAAAGGCTTTTCAAAACAAAAGGGGCAGTAGAACCCTTCACCATATGGGTCAGGGCCTTGCAGGATTTCACAAGGGGACAAAGTAGGAACAACACCGAGACAGTGTGCCAATGTGAATCGAGAGAGAATCATGCACATGAGCCGCCCTGGCAGGTAAAAGGAAGGCGCCGAGAGGGAACAGGTCCCTCCTGAGAAGCCGGGCCCAAGGAATGGCACAAGTGGAGGCGGGGCAGGGGACCACCCCCCCACGAGTGGAGGCGGGGCAGGGGACCACCCCCCCACGAGTGGAGGCGGGGCAGGGGACCAACCCCCACGAGTGGAGGCGGGGCAGGGGACCACCCCCCCACGAGTGGAGGCGGGGCAGGGGACCACCCCCCACGAGTGGAGGCGGGGCAGGGGACCACCCCCCCACGAGTGGAGGCGGGGCAGGGGACCACCCCCCACGAGTGGAGGCGGGGCAGGGGACCACCCCCCCACGAGTGGAGGCGGGGCAGGGGACCACCCCCCACGAGTGGAGGCGGGGCAGGGGACCACCCCCCCACGAGTGGAGGCGGGGCAGGGGACCACCCCCCCACGAGTGGAGGCGGGGCAGGGGACCACCCCCCACGAGTGGAGGCGGGGCAGGGGACCACCCCCCCACGAGTGGAGGCGGGGCAGGGGACCAACCCCCACGAGTGGAGGCGGGGCAGAGGACCACCCCCCCACGAGTGGAGGCGGGGCAGGGGACCACCCCCCCACGAGTGGAGGCGGGGCAGGGGACCACCCCCCCACGAGTGGAGGCGGGGCATGGGACCACCCCCCACGAGTGGAGGCGGGGCAGGGGACCACCCCCCACGAGTGGAGGCGGGGCAAGGGACCACCCCCCCCCCCCCACGAGTGGAGGCGGGGCAGGGGACCACCCCCCCCCCCCCCACGAGTGGAGGCGGGGCAGGGGACCACCCCCCCACGAGTGGAGGCGGGGCACCAATAATCCTATAGAGAAAGACGCCAGTTTCAACATGTAAGGTCTGGGTGCGGGACAGACAAGACATAGTAAGTAGACCCCAGAGTCGACATAGAAGACAATACTAGTCTGATATTTCAGCATAGTAAATAATACCAAACTGATATTTCAGTGTAATAAACAATACCAAACAAATATTAGAGCATAGTAGTCAATATCAGACAGATAATTGAGCATAACAGGCAGTACCAGACATATTTCAGCATAGTAGATATTACCAGAGTGATATTACAACATAGCAGACAATACCAGACTGACAACATATAAGAGGCCAGCAACAGCACAGGTCACACAGCATCGCTCCTGTGCCAAGTAAGTCCACTACGGGCTCTCCATAGCCCATGCTACTTGGAACTTGTTCCGAGTAGCTGAATCTATAACAGCAGCAGCAGCAGGACTGGCCCCCACTCTAAACCAGAGCAGGTTGGCGGCAGTAAGCCACAAAATTTGTGCTGCACCAGTTAGGAATCATCACTTCAGTTGACCTCCATCGACACTCCTCCGCATGAATCTGCATATTGCCTGACACCATTTAATTCCCGCCCGGTCACCAGTTTATAGGGGGAAGGGTAGAGAGCCGTGTCCACGACGAATATTGAACTAGGATAACGCCGAGGCCCTCTGACTGTTCCTAATACTGCAAGCTCCCTGTCATGGATTACCATCCACTCTGCATGACTGACCCTCTGACTGGAACCTCATCTTCGCCGATGACAAGCCATTTCCCACAATTTAAATATGTATGTCTATATGTACAAGAGGGAGAATATGTGGTTGTGGGACCGAGGCTTACTGCCCTCGTTACCAAACATATCGTGAGGGAAATTATTTTTCAACTATCAATTAAAATTTGATTTTATGTAAACGCGATTCACGTGTTTTCACAAGTTGTTACAGCATTGTAATTCATGAATACTTTGATAACATATGAAGATGTTTATTAAATGACCCCAAAAAAGTATAAAAACAGAATTTTTTCATTTTAAAATTATTATATATACTGTAATACAATTTGTGAAAATGATAAAGCAAAACAAATTGTAAAGTATAAAGCGAGAACAAATACCTGGTGAAGCTGTCCGTTGTGACCACCGCGCTCTGTATTGATCATTCACTAAACGAACGTTAATTAGACAAAAAAGGTTAATAGCCAATCATCAGCCTATTATTTCGTCTCATAATAAATTAATAAAACATTTTGATTGACAACTGCAGGATAACTGTTCCTGTCTCTTGAGTTTCCATCAGTCTGTTGACCTCGTCCGCCAGACCTGGCCTGGCGCCGCCTCCTCCTGCTCTTACAAACGCAATTTAATAGTGTTATGGGTTTTTATACTGTAAGTGACAAGAAAGACACGTTAGTTTGTCGGATATTGGATGTTTTATAGAACCTGTCTTTCTCACGTGTCTCCAGACTGTATTGTGGGAGAGGAAGTTTGTATGGGATTACAGGATGGGGTGGGGGGGGGGGGTGAGACAT